AAAGCCCACGCTCGACAAAGCAACACCTGCCACCGAGAAAGTACGCATGCCTCGGCCTATAAAAGGGACATTGGCGACTCTTGAAGATAAGAGCTCATAACCGACGACGTATTCATCACCATGACCGACACAATGAAGGTCCTGATTCGCAGTACTGATATGACCGTCGAGATGCAAGAGTCTGCCGCCAAAGTAGCTATTTCAGCTATCTCAAAGTTCGAAGTTGAAAAAGACATGGCTGCCTTCGTGAAGAAGGAATTCGACAGCCTCCATGGCGAGACCTGGCACTGCATCGTGGGAAAGGACTACGGCAGGTAAGAAGTAGCGATTTAACAACATGAGATGAGTTCCGTATATTGCCTTCATACTACACTTTTATCAGGCTGAAAACTGTTTAAATCACGCATAGTGTAGATCACAAAGTTAGGGTGTGTTCATTTGACCTTTTTTCTAAAATAAGTCCGTTTGAGTCTTGTTCTTTCACATCGCCATTCACGCCACCTTAGCACTGTACTAGAGATTCAGTGTTTGTGAGGTGTCGGACGTTTATAGCATTCCCTGACCTTCGATTAAGTTTTAAGAAGGCGCATTTCTGAATGGAGTCAATCGGATTGTATTGTTAGATTACAAATAGTCCAAAGACTATCATAATTAGGGTCTAGTAAGCAAACGACGTCAAACATTTTTAGAGACGGTCGCCCGACCAGGTAAGTAGACTTATATAGTTCCTCAGAAACTTACTTGAAATTGTGTAAAATCCATTAACATTCCGCATGCATCTGTTGATCAGTATACAGAAGTAGAAGGTGCAATCGCTGAAATTTTCCAGATTCGCGCTTAAACACAAAATCAGAGATCTCAGCAGAAAGACAACTGGTTACACGTGCCTTGCGTTTTTTCCTTTTTCACACGGTTGCAAAAGGTATTCCTCTAACTGTAGCATTCACTTGGCTGGGGGGGGGAGCCAACCGAATGAGCCAATACAGATAATTAAAATTATTGATGTTAAGTTAGAGTAGGTTGAATGAACATAAATTATAAGAAATAAGCTAGACCTTAAAGGCACACATTGTCTTTTTCTGCTACTCACTAACTCCCTCTTTTCTGCCTTTCAGTTATGTGACGCACGTGGAAGGTGGTTTTATCTACTTCTACGTGGACAAGCTGGGATTCCAGTTGTATAAAACTGCTTAATTTGGAAACTATCCACATTTCATCACACAAATACACATTTTGCGCTGCTATCTCAATAGCTGAGCGGTGACTTTCAAAAAGTCTTTTTTGGGGGAGGATTTTAGTCATGTGCGCCAAACCGGCTAGTAAATGAGGCCAGGGTGTCCATTTGTCGTAAGTTTTTCTGTCGACAATAGAAGGTTTCCCAAACCAAAGGTGAGGGACGACAGAATTGGTTGGAACAGTTTAAGTGCGAGAAGTGAGCCAAAGAAAGGCTCTGTCTGCACGACAGGCCTGTCCGTGTACGTGGTATGTTGTAAAGCTTTGCCTACACGATTTAGTGCTCTCTCGTCTGCACAGCCAATCAGATGAAGCGGAGCTTATCGAGGGGGCATCGAGCGTACGCGTAGCTGAAGCAGCGAGTCAATCGATAGCGTTAGAACGGCTGATAGCCCGTGAATAGGATAAGGATGCGTGGGTGCAAGGCTTGAGAGTGCGAAGGCAGGATGCGTCTGCGCGTTGCCGTTGTGTACGTAGACTCCCACAGTAGTCTCCGGCAGGACCAAAGGCGGCGTATAGCGACGCCAAAGGCACGATTGAGGCCTAGATACTGAGAGCAACAAAACGGTCAGGAAAGGGAACACGAGATCCACCACGAGTGAGAGTAATAGAGGAGTTGGTGTAATCAATGGCAGCAGTGTTCTAGTTGGGTGCAGTGGCAGGGTGAGGTTGCGCACCTGAGGTAAGAGGCAATTTTCGGGACAGTAGCATATCGCGTTTAGGAGGAGGGGAAGACGGTGACAGGAGATGGGAGGACCCGTCGGACGAAGTGTTCAGGACAGCAGCTTGGAGCTCGTTAAGGTCCACGACCTAGTAGAGATTTCCACGCTATAACTGCTGCTAATCAATTCACTCTGTTCTCTTTAAAATTTCGACTCATGCCTCTGTGTTCTTGCAAATGCCCC